AGAAGCTGGGAGCACCCAGGAGCCTCCCTCCCAACCTCTGGAGCAGGCTGCACGCGGAGCACCCAGCCGTCCCCGGCAGAGCTCGTCCGGACTTTGCAGTCTCCAGGGGTCTGCCCTCCACCTCACCTCATTTCACATCCGCGAATCTGGCTTTTGGTACTGGAAAAATCATTTCAGCTCAGATTCCTGGGGCCTTTCCCCCTTTCTTTCTTCCCCTGCATTTCTTTCTCCAGCACAAAAACCTCTCACTTGCCCCCAAAAAATCAACCTCCCACACCTTTCAGCTTTTCAAAATTCATCCTGAATTAACTTTGTTGAAAAGTGCCACAGGGAACGAGTCCCCTTAGTATTCCTATCACACCAGAAAAAAAGGCTCCACCTCTTGTCCATCGGACGCTACTGCTTCCTAGAATGCAAGTTCGAGCCCAGTGGATGTTCTGGTGTTCTGCAAGGACCATTCTGGCACGATCAGCATCCCCACAGGGCCGAGGGGAAGGACCCACCTGAGCTCCACGAAGCCGCCGACCAGCGCCAGGGAAATGAAGTCTTTGCCGCGGTTCTGCCCGTTGTAGAGCAGCAGCCCGCTGAGCTCCACAGTCCTGAACTCCATGGCGATGCGCACGGTGTGGTACGCCTTCATCATCTTGAAGGCCAGGTAGGACTTGCCACCAAAGCTGGGGATGAAGTACCTGATAGCTGCAAGAACAGGGTGGGGGCAGAGGAAGGAAGAGGGGATGGAGCAGAGGAAGGAACAAGCGGACAGAGAGCAGATAAAGGCCTGACATGAGCCTGTGAACGCTCTCCTACCCGTACAAAGAGAGCTCTTGTGAAATGGCAGAAAGAACCACAGAATCACAGAATGGTAGCACCAAAGCTGGGGATGAAGTACCTGATAGCTGCAAGAACAGGGTGGGGGCAGAGGAAGGAAGAGGGGATGGAGCAGAGGAAGGAACAAGCGGACAGAGAGCAGATAAAGGCCTGACATGAGCCTGTGAACGCTCTCCTACCCGTACAAAGAGAGCTCTTGTGAAATGGCAGAAAGAACCACAGAATCACAGAATGGTAGGGGTTGGAAGGGACCTCTGTGGTCCCCCAGTCCAACCCTCCTGCCGAAGCAGGGTCACCTACACCAGGCTGCACAGGACCTTGTCTGGCTCTCTCCTCTGGGCCCACACTCCTGTCTAATTATCCCCTGTGACCCCCTCCCAGACGCTCGTACTGGTAGCAACCAACTCCTCTGTTGATGACATGCCCCCCAGAGATTGCTCCCAGGCTTTGGAGGTCTGCGGTATCGCTCCCCCAGTACCCAGCTCCAGTAGTGTCCCAGTCAGCTCCTCCCCAGCAACGACCAGTGCCGCCGGTCCTTTCTGTGCCCAGCTATCACGTCCCCTGTGCCCCCCGCTGAGCTCTGCTGTTCCTCGTAACTCAATTTCCCTGCTCCTCAGATAATTTTTATCTGTCCTCCCGCAATCCCACATGACAGATTTGCATTCATCACGCCCAGCTTTCCCTTACTGCAGCTGAGAATTCCCAAGGGATCTGGCAGGCCAAGTCCTATTAAAATTAACAGGGCTGGACACCCACATCCAATAGCAGCTTTGAGGGCTCCAGCTTACGGCTTTAGGGACAAAGCTTGTTGGGAATAAGCACTCACAGCCACCCAGCACCCCCGGCGTGACGCTGAATCGCCAGTGGGAGCTCCCAGTAAACGGCAGCAGCTCCGGTTAAGCACGCTGCCAGTCCACGGCTGC